CCTTACCCACCATGCCCCCTCCCAGCCCCTGATCTTGTCTTCGTGTGTGTGTGTGTGTGTGTGTGTGTGTGTGTGTGTGTGTGTTTTATGGCATGCTTACTCAAAGTGATTCTCACAACAACGCTTTGAACTAGGTGCTACTATTATTGCTATGTTACAAATAAGAGAACAGAAGCCCAGAAAGGTTAATAACTTGCCCAAGAGCACACAGCTTGATTTGAATGCAGGCAACCTGGCTTCAAGCCTGGACCCTGAACAACTGCTCTCTGGCACTACCAAGGTTGTCCTCCAGCACTGTGACTCTCACCCACCTCCCTGCCTTCCAAGACGCCTCTGTGAAGGGGAAAGTGAAGTTGCTGCAGCTCACTGGGACTGCAGAGCTCAGCCCCTCCACCCACAGGCCTCAGGGAGCGTGTTCTGGCTGAGCACATGCACCTCTTATCAAGGGGAGGAGGCTGAGCACAGGCTCGAGGTGATGATGAGCAATCCCCTCTGAGGCTAGCCCCATAGCTGACAGCCCCACATGGCTGACTTGTGCTTTGACAGAATGGAGAAATGGAGGAGATGGCGGTATGACCACACTCCATTGGGAGGCTCTCTCTCTCTCTCTCTCTCTCTCTCTCTCTTTCTCTCTCTCTCTCACAACCACATGCAGCCTAAGGAATTTTTTAAACCCCCTCTGTTTATACGGGAAGGCATAGCCCCTGATTCATGAGTTGCACCCAGGGTCTCCAGAATCTCGAGGTAGCCCTTCTTTCTCTGCCTGGACTCCAGCTCCCTGCTTCTCCCCTTCTCTCTTCTGGGACCCAGCAGTCTCATTCCCATGCGTGCTGCCCGATAGTCACACACTCAGCTCCTGCTCTCGTTCAACCCCGAGAGCGGGCAGGACATGGACTGAGAGGGAGCGTCCTGCCGGCCATGGCTCCACGTACCCTGGGCAGAGCCCACGAGTGTGTCTGGCACTTAGCTGCTATCTCTCTAGGTGAGGGGTGCAGTTTTGTCCTGATAAAGACAGAACCTCAGCCCTCAAGGAGCTCAGTTTAGAAAATTGCTTAATTCCAGCCGGGCTAGGTAGCACAGCAGTAACACACCATTATGCAACACTAATCCATATGGAAAACCACAGGTTCAGTCCCCAGTCCACCCACACACCCATGTGTGAGCACTCTTGATCCTGACTGGCAGGCAAAGATGGGGAGGATTATGGCATGAGACACTGTTTTTTGTTTTTGTGGTGTGTTTTTGTTTTTGTTTTTATTTGAGAGGTTTTTGCTATATGGGCATGCGCTCACCAGAAAGACAGAAAGAGACAGAGAGACACAAAGCGAGCAATCACCCCCTGGGGGGATGACCACGCCGCAATCCCTTCTCCTCCATTCTCCTCTTGGGATCTTGGGCATGCATGCATATGTGCCCGGCATAAGTTTAAGCCACCGGGTCTGAGACTCGAACCGTGGTCGACTACATGGGAGTCCAGTGACATAGCCATTACACTAACTGTTGGTTCCAAGACACTGTTAAGACTGCTTGACTTCCACCCTCCCCGCCACCTCTGTCTCCGTCCACTTGCATGAAAAGAATAAAACAAGAGGAAACTCACTTCATTCAAGGCAAAAGGATGTCAGGTTTAAGGCAGAGGAGCAGAGTATTTGCTGGGCTTCCTAAGTTCAAATCCCAGCTCCTCTATCCACCAGCTGTGTGAACTTGAGCCATGTGATATACAGAATAATGGCCACCCCAAAGATATCCACATCCTAATCCCAGGAGCCTGGGAATGTGTTGCCTTATACGGCCAAGGGGAGTTAAGGTTGCAGATAGAACTAAAGTTGCTAATTCACTGATCTTAAAATAGGGAAATTATTGGGAATCAGCAGTTAGCGTAATGGCTATATCACTGGACTCCCACATAGTCAACCGCGGTTCGCGTCCCGGACCCAGTGACTTAAAACTCATGCCGGGCGCATGTGCGTGCATGCCCAAGATCCCGAGAGGAGAATGGAGGAGAAGGGATTGCGGCATGACCATCTCCCCTGGGGAGTGATTTCTCGCTTTCTGTCGCTATGTCTCTCTCTGTCTGTCTGGCGAACGCACGTGCCCTATAGCAAAAACATCTCCCCCAAAAAAATAGGGAGATTATCCTAGGTTATCTGAATGGGCCCAGTGTAATCACAAAGATCTTTAAAGTGGTAGAAGAAGAAGGAAGAGAAAGCCAGACAACATAATGTGAAAGAGACTCAGCTGGAGGTTGCTGACCCTGAAGGTGAACGAAAGGGGCTACGAGCTGAAAAATTCCAGCCTCTACAAGCTGGAAAAGGTTAAAGAAATTGATTCATCCCTAGAGCTTCCAGAACACAGGCCTAGGGACACCCCGACTTTAAGCCAGTGAGATTTGTACTAGACTTCTGACACACGGAATGTAAGAGCATACATTTGTGTTATTTTAAGCCACTGAGTAATTTGCTACAGCCAAGAGAGAAAACTAATGCACTACCCAAATTCTCTTTTTGTTTTTTTTTCATTTTAATGTTTGCTATAGGATGTATGTATTTACTGGAGACCCACAGAAAAAGAAAGAGAGAGAACGAAAGTGAGAAAGTGTCCCCCAGAGGGGATGCCGCACAACCATCCGTTTTCCTCCATTCTTCTCACGGGATTTTGTGCACTCACACGCAGAGGCCTAGTGTGTTTTTAAGTCACCGGGTTTGGGACTCAAACCGCACAACCATGTGGGACCCAGCCTTAATCTCCATGCCATTTGCTAGCCCACAGTACCTAAATCCTCTAAACCTGTTTCCTCATCTATCAGTCAGATAAAAGAGCCATAGCTTCCACACAGAATAGGTGATGATTGAATGAGGGATTGTGCATAAAACACCTAGTTCCAAGTTTACCCCGTGGTAAGAGTAAAATAAGTGTTGGTTTCGTTAGTATTGAGAGGGCCAGTACCTTTCTCCCAAGACAATCTCATTCAGCCTTTTACGGGACAAGTCTTCCTCTATGGTCCAGAGTGTGTGAGCAGCCCTGCTTCCCTTTCTCAGAGGAGGCACAATCTCCTTTTCCTAGAGCCATTCAGCCCACAGTCTCTTGCCCTCTGAATTTCTGCTTTTGTTGATCTTTGTCCAGCCTCTGAATCTAGGGTTATGGAGCAGATGAGGGACACTGAGCTACCTTTTTTATAAAAAATGTATTATTTTTATTTTTTGCTACAAAGTGTGTGAACTTTCCAGAGAGAGAGGGAGAGAGACAAAAAGTGAGAAATCTTCCCTTCCTTGCAGGGGGGATAGCCACACTACAATCCTCTCTCCATTCTCCTCTTGGAATTTTGGGCACACACGCACATGTGCCTGGCATGATTCTGAAGCTGTTGGGTCTGGACTTGAACCACACAGTCAACCATGTGGGACCAAGCACCTTAACCTCCATACCACCTGCTGGCCCAAGAAATGTATTTTTTGATAGATGATCAGGGAGTGCACCTGATGTTAAGTTACATTACTGTTTCCAGAACTGGTATTGGATAATGATATCTTTACAAAAAGAAAAGATGCTCCTTGTGCAAAAGTGCTGGATGTTTGGAATTTCATCCATTCCTTTTTTCAAAGAAAAATAAGTTGTCTGATGTTGGATTTACAAAGTTAAATAAGAGAGGGGGACCAGCAGTTAGCATAATGGCTATGTCACTGGACTCCCATGTAGTCCACCGCAGTTCACGTCTCAGACCTGGTGGCTTAAACTCACGCCAGGCGCGTGTGCATGCATGTGTGCCCAAGATCCCGAGAGGAGAATGAAGGAAAAGGGATTGTGGTGTGACCATCCCCCCTGGGGGGTGATTTCTCTCTTTCTATCTCTCTGTCTGGCGAGCACACACACCCTATAGCAAAAACCTCTCCAAAAAAAAAGTTAAATAAGAGGGGGAGATCTCTGCTTTTCTTCTTATAGGAAAAAAAAGGCGATATCACAGAAGGTAGGTTTCACATCAGTGTTTATTAGAGCAGAAAGGGAGAGAAAATAACATAGGTTCCAAAAAATCCCAGCAGCTCTATGTGGTGGGTGTCACTCCTCTGAACAGAACTTTTCTACATTCCTGAGGACAGGCAGCCTGCCCCAACTCGTGATCTGAGGGTCCCAGCTCCATCAGTGCCAGATAAGATTCTGGCTCTGCCCACCCTTGTAATGATAGAAAGGCCCTTGTGGGGTCTAGACATTAGGCTATTGGTTTCCATGATGTATGCAGGTTAGTAAAATGAAGCAGCATCTAGATTTGTCATCAATCCTCAAGGCAGCCTTTGCCACACCCATAGTTCACAAGGCTGAAGACATCCATTTCTGCAGTTTAAGAGCAAATGAAAGAAGCTTCATCCTGTTTTGACATTATCAAGGTTGCTGTCCATCAAACCACTTGCTGGAAAAGAACAAGAAAATAATATTACAATGATGAAGGTGATGATGGTCATGGTGATGGTGGTGATGGTGGTGATGATGGTTGTGATGGTGATGGTAATGATGGTGGTGATGATGTAGTGATGGTGATGATGATGCTGATGCTGATGGTGATGGTGATGATGGTGATGATGGTGATAATGGGGGGGGTGATGGGGATAATGATGATGATGGTGGTGATGATGGTTGGGGTGGTGGTGGTAATGGTGAGGATGGTGATGATGGTGGTGATGATGGTTGGGGTGGTGGTGGTAATGGTGAGGATGGTGATGATGGTGGTGATGATGGTTGGGGTGGTGGTGGTAATGGTGAGGATGGTGATGATGGTGGTGATGATGGTTGTGATGGTGATGGTAATGGTGGTGGTGATGGTGATAGTGATGGTGATGATGGTGGTGGAGATGGTAATGACGGTGGTGGTGGTGATGGTGAGGATGGTGATGATGGTGTTGGTGGTGTAGTGATAGTGATGATGGTGATGGTGATGATGGTGATAATGGTGGTGGTGATGGTGATAATGATGATGATGGTGGTGGTGATGGTGATAGTGACGGTGATGATGGTGGTGGTGATGGTGGTGGTGATGGTAATGACGGTGGTGGTGGTGATGGTAATGACGATGGTGGTGGTGGTGTGGTGATGGTGAGGATGGTGATGATGGTGGTGATGGTGGTGATAGTGATGATGGTGATGATGGTGATGGTGATGATGATGATGGTAATGGTGATGGTGATGATGGTGGTGATGGTGATGATGGTGGTGGTGATGGTGGTGATAGTGAAAATGGGATGGTGATGGTGGTGATGGTGATGGTGATGATGGTAATGGTGATGGTGATGATGGTGGTGATGGTGATGATGGTGGTGGTGATGGTGGTGATAGTGAAAATGGTGATAGTGGAGGAGATGGTGATAATGATGAAGAAAAGAGAGGCAGGCAAGAGGGGAGAAGGAAAAGAGGAAGGAGGAGGAGAAACTACAGAGAAAAGAGCAGCCATCCAGCTGTCACTTCTTGAGTACTTCTAATATATGTGCAGGACAACATTATTTTCCATGCATTTACTTTTCTAACCTTCAGAACAACTGTGAGGGAGAAACTACTATCATTCACATTTTATAAATAAGAAAATGGAGAGAGAAGTTAGGCATTGTGTTCCAAGGTTATTCAGCCAGAGACTGGCAGACCAGGATCTTGAGGCTATTTGATGCCAGAGTCCAAATCAATGTGTCCCTCCAGCCACTGCTTCTTTACTAAGTGGGATCCCGGAATGCAGCCTCTGCGGAGCCCCCTGGCTCACCAGCAAGGTTCTTCTTACCCAGAGGCCTCAGTCACCCCTTGGAGGATGCTACCATGGGGCTCACAGAATCTAGAAACCTCTCCTCTGACTTGGCCTGCACAATGGTACTAACTTAGGGTTTACTCTGTACCAGGCTCCACAAGCATCATTACTATTCCAATTGCAGATGCAGTAATGGAGACCAGAGAGGTTAGATGATTTGTCCTAGGCTATAGAGCAAGATGCAAAGAGCAAGACCAGCTCTGTCCAGTTCCAGAGTCTGAGGATCTAACTAATTCACAGGTCTGCTTTCTGGAAGGAGCTAAGTGAGTGCTGGAAGATGAAGGCCACTGGTGCAGAGGAGGCCAGCAGCCTGTGGGTCAAGAACTAGTCCAGACACAGCAGAGTCCCCAATTTGGAACAGGGCTCCTGGGAGTTCTTTGGTGATCATCCAGGCTAGGGAAGGCAGAAAGCAATGGAAGTAAAACCCAGAAAATAAGTTTCTGGTCTTGGTGATGATAGGGATGGCTGAGGTGCATGTCATAGGTCAACCCTACAGATGTCAGCCCCACCTAGAGAGACTCAACTCTCAACAAGCCACACTTTCCCTCAACTTGACTCCCACCTACTCTCTTGCCTCATCCTTGCCACTGCAACCCACAACCAGCTAACAGACAGGTTCCCCAATACTATTTTCTAGATGGTCACCCAACCCAGACTACCCACTGCCATCCTGCAGACAGAAGGCCTGGGAGGAGAGAACGTACCAAGGCTGATCTGAGCTCCTTACACGGGATGGACAATGTTCCTGTCACAGTGGGGCTTGCAGTGGGGGTTCAGCCAGTGCTCCAGGAACTGCTCTTCAGCGCGGTGCTCTAGGGCAAGCAGGTAGTGCATGTACTCCTGTTGAAACAAACCCATGTTGAACAAAGGCCTTGTCCACAGTAACAGCCACAAGCCAATGTGCACGGCGCGGCCCTGGTTCCTGAGACAGAGTGCAGCCTGGCTGCAGGAAGGCTGGGAGGCAGACAGAGAGAGGGACTCCATGTCTCTCTGTAGGGAAGGCCGACAGACCCACTTACTCAGGGGGCAAATACAGAAATCCACAATATGACATTCTGAAAGGGCCTGTCTCCAGGGAGCTCACCTACACTGCTGGTGGAGTGTAGCACAGAACGACCACTCTAGGAAACAACTGTGCAGTGGTTTGAATGTCCTCCCAAAATTCAGGTGTTGATACTGATTGTAATGGAATTGTAATAGAATGAAGAAGTTGAAAACTTAATCCATCTATGGTGTTGAGAGATTGGGCCTTTGGGAAGAAATTAGGATTAAGGCATCAGGGTGGAGCCCCCATGACAGACTCCTGGTGGGTTTCGAATGAGAGGACGTGAGGCTAGAACAGAGACACATGGACACAGATGCACACGCCTCTGCCCTCCACCATGTTTCAACCCCTGGAACTTGGACTGCCACAGCATGGGCTGAATCAACCTGTAATTTTATAAATGACCCAGACTCAGGTATTTTCTGTTATTAGTAATGCACAGAGTAGAACAACATGGTTCCCTGCAACCCAGAAACTTTACTCCTGGTTATACCCTAGAGCAGTGAACCTCAAACTTTATCAGGTATCAGAGTTACCCAGAGGGTTTCTTTTTTTCTTTTCTTTTTTTTTTTAAGAGGTTTTTTTCTATAAGATAGATGCACTTGCCAGAAAGACAGAGAGATATAAAATGAGAAATCACCCCCCAGGGAGGATGGCCATGCCACAATCCCTTCTCCTCCATTCTCCTCTCGGGATCTTGGGCACTCATGCACATGCGCCCAGTGTGAGTTTAAGCCACCGGGTCCAAGACTCGAACCACGGTTGACTACATGGGAGTTCAGCGACATAGCCATTACGCTAACTGCTGGTCCCCAGAGAGTTTCTTAAAACACAGATTGTTGAGCCAGGAGGTAGTACAGAGGTAATGCAACTGGACCCACCCAGGAAAGGGCCTAGGTTTTGGTCCTGAGGCCTCCCTGAGTGTACATGACATGTATGTGTGTGCCCATGAGACAAGACTGCTAAGGCTAAGGGTGGATTGCAGCATGAAGACATGAAGATCCTCTCTCTCTCATTTCATGGAGGAAATAAATAGGTAAAACTTTATTTTTTACAAAAGCCTGCACAGGGTCCCAGCAGATGGTGTAGTGGTTGAGGCACTGGACTCCCACATGTGGACCTGCGGTTTGAACTCTAAACTCAGCAATTTGAAAATCATGCCACACAAATGTGCATGCGTATTCAAAATCCCAAGAGGAGAATGAAGGAGAAGGGACTGCAGCATGGCCATCCCCTCCCCCAGGGGGGTGATTTCTCACTTTTCCTCTCTCTTCCTCTCCGGTAAGTTCATGTGCCCTATAGTGAAAACAAAAACAAAAGCAATACAAGAAAATCCCACACAGATTGCTGAGCTCACACCTACAGTTTCTGACTCAGCATCTCAGGGCCAAGAGGTGGCGTAGCGGTTAAGACACTGGACTGCCATGTAGCCAACCATGGTTTGAGTCCTGGATCCAGCAGCTTGAAACTCACACTGGGTGTATGTACATGCGTGCCCGAGATCCCAAGAAGAAAATGGAGGCGAAGGGATTGTAGCATGGCTATTCCCCCTGGGGAGAGACTTTCTGTCTCTCTGTCTCTCCAGTAAGTGCACACATCCTATAGCGAAAAAAGAAAAAAGAAAAAAAAACTCCCAAAAGAAAAGAAAATACATACAACTCTAACAAGTTCCCAGCTGCTGCTTCTAGCTGCTTTGAGAACAATAGAAGCTCTCATACCAGGAGAAGCATATAAGAATATTCACAGCAGCCATAAATTTGTTTAACATTGGAAACATGCTAAATAGTCACTGAAAGGAAAAGAGATCGTTAAATTATGGTAGGGTCGCACAGTGGAATGTTAATCAGCACTGAGCATAAATTACTTACAGCTACATACAACAACATAGGAGGGTCGTAGAAATAGCACAACGGTGTGAAAGAGCAAGTGCAAGCAGGCTACATTTAGAGTATGGGACCATTTTTAAAATTATTTCATCTTTATTTATTGATTATTATCATTATTATTATTATTATTATTTTATTTGACTAGAAAGAGACAGAGAGGGAAATTGAGAAAGCAAGCCACCATGTCCAGAACTCAAGCTGCAGTTGACCTTGTGAGAGTCCAGCACCTTAATGACCATGCCACCTGCATGCCCAGCACCATTTTTACATAGCTCAAAACATCCATAACTGAGCAACATATTGCTTATGTCTGCATGTATTTGTAAGAAAATCCTCTCTTTTTTTTTTGAAGGAGAGAGATTTTTGCTATAGGGTGTGTGCACTTCCCACGATACAAAGAGAGACAGAAAGTGGAAAATCACTCCCTAGGGGATGGCCACACCTCAATCCCTTCTCCATTCTCCTCTTAGGATTTTGGGCATGCACACACACTCAGCGTTGAGTCTCAAGTTGCCAGGTGAGGTACTGAGTCTGCGGTCGGCCATGTGATTCAGTACCTTAACCACTATGCCACCTGCTGGCCCCTCTGAAAATCCTCTTTTAAAAGGCAAAGGATGGGACCAGCAGATGGCGTAATGGTTACATCCCTGGACTCCCAAACAGTCAACCATGGTTCGAGTCCCAGACCAGGCAGCTTCAAACTCATGCTAGGCACGTGTGTGTGTGTGTGTGTGTGTGCCCGAGATCCTGAGAGAATGGAGGAGAAGGGATTGCAGCATGTTTATCCTCTATCGGGGATGATTTCTTGCTTTCTGTTTCTCTCTTTCTCTCTGGACAGTGCATGCACTCTAGAGCAAAAATCTCTCAAAAAAAAGAGGGGGCAAGGAATAACTAGAAGAAAACTACCCTGCAACCCAGAAACTTTACTCCTGGTTATACCCTAGAGCAGTGAACCTCAAACTTTATCAGGTATCAGAGTTACCCAGAGGGTTTCTTTTTTTCTTTTCTTTTTTTTTTTAAGAGGTTTTTTTCTATAAGATAGATGCACTTGCCAGAAAGACAGAGAGATATAAAATGAGAAATCACCCCCCAGGGAGGATGGCCATGCCACAATCCCTTCTCCTCCATTCTCCTCTCGGGATCTTGGGCACTCATGCACATGCGCCCAGTGTGAGTTTAAGCCACCGGGTCCAAGACTCGAACCACGGTTGACTACATGGGAGTTCAGCGACATAGCCATTACGCTAACTGCTGGTCCCCAGAGAGTTTCTTAAAACACAGATTGTTGAGCCAGGAGGTAGTACAGAGGTAATGCAACTGGACCCACCCAGGAAAGGGCCTAGGTTTTGGTCCTGAGGCCTCCCTGAGTGTACATGACATGTATGTGTGTGCCCATGAGACAAGACTGCTAAGGCTAAGGGTGGATTGCAGCATGAAGACATGAAGATCCTCTCTCTCTCATTTCATGGAGGAAATAAATAGGTAAAACTTTATTTTTTACAAAAGCCTGCACAGGGTCCCAGCAGATGGTGTAGTGGTTGAGGCACTGGACTCCCACATGTGGACCTGCGGTTTGAACTCTAAACTCAGCAATTTGAAAATCATGCCACACAAATGTGCATGCGTATTCAAAATCCCAAGAGGAGAATGAAGGAGAAGGGACTGCAGCATGGCCATCCCCTCCCCCAGGGGGGTGATTTCTCACTTTTCCTCTCTCTTCCTCTCCGGTAAGTTCATGTGCCCTATAGTGAAAACAAAAACAAAAGCAATACAAGAAAATCCCACACAGATTGCTGAGCTCACACCTACAGTTTCTGACTCAGCATCTCAGGGCCAAGAGGTGGCGTAGCGGTTAAGACACTGGACTGCCATGTAGCCAACCATGGTTTGAGTCCTGGATCCAGCAGCTTGAAACTCACACTGGGTGTATGTACATGCGTGCCCGAGATCCCAAGAAGAAAATGGAGGCGAAGGGATTGTAGCATGGCTATTCCCCCTGGGGAGAGACTTTCTGTCTCTCTGTCTCTCCAGTAAGTGCACACATCCTATAGCGAAAAAAGAAAAAAGAAAAAAAAACTCCCAAAAGAAAAGAAAATACATACAACTCTAACAAGTTCCCAGCTGCTGCTTCTAGCTGCTTTGAGAACAATAGAAGCTCTCATACCAGGAGAAGCATATAAGAATATTCACAGCAGCCATAAATTTGTTTAACATTGGAAACATGCTAAATAGTCACTGAAAGGAAAAGAGATCGTTAAATTATGGTAGGGTCGCACAGTGGAATGTTAATCAGCACTGAGCATAAATTACTTACAGCTACATACAACAACATAGGAGGGTCGTAGAAATAGCACAACGGTGTGAAAGAGCAAGTGCAAGCAGGCTACATTTAGAGTATGGGACCATTTTTAAAATTATTTCATCTTTATTTATTGATTATTATCATTATTATTATTATTATTATTTTATTTGACTAGAAAGAGACAGAGAGGGAAATTGAGAAAGCAAGCCACCATGTCCAGAACTCACGCTGCAGTTGACCTTGTGAGAGTCCAGCACCTTAATGACCATGCCACCTGCATGCCCAGCACCATTTTTACATAGCTCAAAACATCCATAACTGAGCAACATATTGCTTATGTCTGCATGTATTTGTAAGAAAATCCTCTCTTTTTTTTTTGAAGGAGAGAGATTTTTGCTATAGGGTGTGTGCACTTCCCACGATACAAAGAGAGACAGAAAGTGGAAAATCACTCCCTAGGGGATGGCCACACCTCAATCCCTTCTCCATTCTCCTCTTAGGATTTTGGGCATGCACACACACTCAGCGTTGAGTCTCAAGTTGCCAGGTGAGGTACTGAGTCTGCGGTCGGCCATGTGATTCAGTACCTTAACCACTATGCCACCTG